AACTTATTTACTTTGCTTGTTTATTGTTTTACTGTAACGTTTTCAAAAAAGTTTTAAACTTTGAACCTAAGATTTGTTTTTCTTTTTTTGCACCACAATTATATGAAATATCTATCATTATTTCAAAAATTAACATTTAAATTCCTTTCTAAGTAGCTGAGATTTCCCAATAATAGGAGATTTTCAATGTGCTATTATTATTATTATTTTATGCCTTTCCTTAGAATGTGACGGAAAAAAGAAGCTCAATCTTTGAAAGGCTTTGCATTTTTTACAGAACCTACTATCTGAAATCAGTGATCTACTAACAGTGATTTTTCAAAGGAAGGTGTCCCAGCAAATTACTTGATGGAATTTTCGTTAGATTGTTAGAATGACGATCAAGAGACGATCAAGGTGCAGTAGCTCATGTAAGGAAAATACATTATTTCTTACCCCAGGAGGTAGCGCTTGAAAAGCATTCAATCGAAACATTCACTGAAAATACATAACATGTAATGCATTTTTGTATATTAATGAAAAGGAAAACTGGTTTTTTTGAATATCATCAAATTAAATTTATGTGGAAAAGCTGTTTTTTGTTTTAAAAAAAAGTTTAAATTTAAAAAAAATTAATAATTTTTAAAAATAAATATTTGTGCTGTAAAATATTAGTGTTCTCTGGTTTTTTATTTAGCTTTTTTAAAAGTTAAATTTTCGTCAAAATAGCCATTCGGTCTTTTCGTATTATGAGAATATTTTAGATTTTTGTTGACTGACGGTATTGTAAAGTATCAATTTTAAATTTAAAAGTCTAATGGATTAAAATTTCTTACATTTTGTAATTTATTTATGTATTCTTTAATTTTAAAGTGAAAAAAAAAAATACACATGAAAAGAAAAATTCGTAAATCATATTGGGTAGTAAAAATTCCTCCTTTGGGAAAAATTTAAATATCTACCCCCCACATGAGCGTCCTTTCTGAAAGTATGAAAAACCCTTTAAAAAAGGGATACTAATCCTTAAAAAATGCGTGCAATCCCAAAAAGAAATTTGGGCAAACATTAATAAATAAACCAGTAACTTTTAAAAATTTGCGTTTAAAAAAATTTTTTTTTTGTTGGTTTGTATAGGTTTTTTAAATAGTTATTTACAATTTTTTTTGTTTTGTTTTAAATTAGGAAATACTTAGGGTCTGATCTATTGCATGATTTAAAAGAGAGAAAAAAAACGTTATATATCGTTTAATAAAATTGCAATAAAATACACCAATTGATATTTACAACAATGAAATTGTCGAGTAATATTATGATGCAGATAGCTAAGCGCTGCACATTCAACCTTTATCTCAAAAATGGTTTGATGTATAAAAAAGGTTTCATAAAAGGTATATAAAACATTTTACTTTTATAATATTTATAATAAATGTAATAGTTTAAAGGTATCCGACTACGTTCGGAACCGTGTTTTTTCAAAAGCGTATAAATGGAAAATTTCTAATATTTAGTGCCACCTGATTAGAATACATGTATAAAATGTTTTAAGGACATTTTGAAAAAAATGTTTTATTTATCAAATATTGGAAAATTAACTTAGATAATTTTTTCAAAATTTTTTCTACTTTGGAAAAGGCTTCTATTATAAAATATTTTGCATGTATATAGCCAGACCTCTGTACAGTGGTTCAACTGAATTTTGAAATATATAACTTAGAAGTGGGTTTATCCATGTTTTACAACAACAAAGGTGAGAAATTTTAAGAAAAAAACGCCGATAATTATTTCAAGTGGTTGTAACTCTAAAAATAATGTGAATTTTTCAAAAACCATAGCTGAGCCTCTGTACAGAGATGTGAGCTATATACAGGCAAAATATTATTATAATAGAAGCATTTTTCACAAAAGAAGAACATTTTGAAAAAATGTTATTCTAAGTTAATTTTTTACCGAAATATTGTATTTAAATAACTTTTTTTGTCAAAATGTCCTTAAAACAATTTTATGCCTTTATTCTAATCTAAGTGGCACTAAATATTATAAATTAACTATTTATGCGCCTTTTTAAAATCGCGGTTCCGAGCGTAGTCGGATACCTTAAATCCATAGCAAAAGAGATATTTGCAAAAAAACGATTTTTTTTACCTTTGAACTTGAATATTTTAAGACGCGGAAACAAGACTTTGTAAGACTTTTGAGATAATTTTTAGTACCGAAATAAAGGTCTATACTACTTTTCAGCTTATTATCTCTCATTCCGAAATTGACCTTTATTTTTGACCTATATGACCTATATGATAGTTTAAACATTTTGACTGAAAGGTGTCCACATGAGAAACTGTTTTAAATATTTGAATCAGCAGGATATTATTTGTCTCCATGAATCAATGAACGAAACCAACGAATAGTCAGTTTTATGAATATTCATAGATATAAGATGTATTTTCTTAATTTATTCAATTTACTAATAATCATTTTCTAAAAATTATTTTTAAAAAAAACGAAGAACGATTCATTAAGTTGGTTTATTTCTTTTCAAACATCAAAATGTGGTCAAATTACTGAAAAAAAAATTGCAAATGTGGGCACACTTGGGAAAAGAAACAAAATCCTTCAATATAGTAAAAGAACCATTAAATGTACTGATGGATTTTTCATAGTGTACGTGTTCGTATTTCAGTCCATTATTTAGACCTTAATATCCCATCCCATCACTTAATTGAAACTTGATTCTTGGGCACAAACTAAATGTTTAGCAGACGTAGCAAAATATTAATCTCGAAGATTACTTCGCTCACATTACTATTAGCAAATTCTTCCCAAAAATTAATTATTTTATTACTATCTTATTTTTTATTCATTTTATATTTCTAAGAAGAAACAAGGGATACAATTATAATAACAAAAATAATTTATTTATTGCATCCAACATCAGATTTCCTTTCTAATTAATTAAGATGTTTTTAAGACATATTTATTGATGAACAAAGAATAAGGTAGTTCGGGGAAAGACGTCGCATTTAAGGATTTTTCTATTAGTACATTGAAATTTTTGAAATGACAAGACCATGAAAAAATTACGCATTATTTTTCAATATCTAATTGATTATGTGTATAAGTTAATTCTCTTCTTAGTATGAAAATAAATTAGAAATTTAATGTTAAGGAAATTCATTTAATTGTGACATCTTCCTCCATATATGGGGGAAAGATGTCACCAGTCATGGAGTAAGATGCAACAACACCACAGTAAATAAAATAAATAAGGCAACAATTACAAAATTAAATATGATGTAACAATAATTATAGAAAAAAAATTCTTTTTCATAATTAGCTTGCTAAAAATAATAACAGTACAGGAGGTTCGAATGAAAGCCTACACAATATTTCACTCAGTGCAATGATTATAATTGCAATTTTCATGCAACCATTTGTTGCATTCGATGCACCGAATCCACTCACACTTGGGACCTTTTTTAGCGTAAAAGTACCCTTTACATACAGCACAAAAAAAATCGTCATTATTATCTCCATCAAAACTGTCACCACTAGTATCTAGGGGAATTTCTTTGCTTGAGGATGACAAACTGACACGTCTTTCTTCTTGCTCTGGGGCTGGGGTTTCTTTTGTTATTTGTTTTTAATCTTTTATCCGACTCCTTTCCCTACCATATGCGTTTCCTCTGACCAGCAAGACTTCTGAATTTAATTTTTATGCCCAGTTGGTTTGCGTTTTCTGACCAGAGGAATAAAGCTGTGCTCCCGTGTTCTCTGCTGGTGGAGGCAACCGATGGTGATATACTAGTTATCATAATTGCATTTAAATATTATTAATTATAATACATAATTATTAATTGCATTTATATTTTATACATGGGTATACAGTATTGCAAAATTTTAGAAAAGGGAAAAATGTACCATGTTCATAGAAAATATTTTTCAATAAATATGGTCGACCGGGGAACTCACTCAGTCACCTCAAGTAGATCAATATTGTTAAAAAAAAAGAAAGAGGTAGATATGTGACAAAACAAATAAACAGATTTTCCCACATAATCAAACATTTCGTGAGTCTACGGTGTTTCTCCCTCGACCGCTCCTGGGTTAATGTTTATGATCAGTGCAACACATTGATATAATTTGTATAAAAATCCTTAAAAACTGTGGATAGCTTACTGAAAACAATTCATAACATAATGAACACCATAAGAATGTGCTTATGTTAGATAAATGTAACCCCTAATGTTGTATCATAAATTTACAAAATGGGCATCGGAGAAATTATTTTTAACATTAATAAAGCAGAAAAAATGAACTTTTTCACATTTATTCTATATGAACAGTATTTCTGCTTTTCATAAGAATTGTAGTCTTTTTACTATAATTAGTTGTGGTTGTGATTTCACCTTTTTGAGAAATTAGATTTCACTCAAATTAAAAGCTGCATTATTGATGATGACTATGCTTTTGTTAACAAATAGCATATATATAGAAATATAACATATGGATTTAACACATATAACATGGATGTATTTAATCACACAACAACTGACTGACTATTTTCGGTTTATTAAAAAAACAAAAATGAATTCTGGAGCTATATGAACATGCTGATACCGAAAAAATACAAACACATGGATGACATGTGAGTGAGTGTATACTTACGTATTTTTTTTTAATTTTCTTAAATAGAGATATCTTTTGAGTTATATAATTAAATGAGGACCACGAGGGAGGACGCCCCCTCTCCAAAGTACCACACCTAGGGAGGACGTTTGTGCTTCCAACAGATTTAGCGGTACAAGGCTCCGAGGTCATGACATTCCCACCACGAGTCTGTTAACTTGACCACTAGGCTACCATGGCCACAGGGTTGTTTGAAACGGTTGTTCTAAAAGGACTCGAGTTGTTTCGAGACATGCGTGCGAGATAAGGTCTGAAGGAGACTCAAAGCCCTCACACTGTATCGGTGTGGAAATGTGGAGACTTTTACAAGTACCAGATAATATGACGGTCGTCAACCAGACAGTATAGTGGCTATGACCCTCGGCTTATAACCGAGGGGGTTCGGGTTAAAATCCCGAGTAAGACAAGGTTATATCTTCTTCGGGAAAGAAGTCGGTCTTTCGCCTGTAATGGATTCCAGTCTCAAAAGGAAAGCAGTGCACCTCTTCTTGTTATATGCTGGGATCATCATCTGTAATACATGTGTATATTCTTCTGTTGCATTGTATGCTTTCTGTTCTTCTTCACTTATACTTCAAATGTTTGTAGGATAAAAAAAACACACAGGTCAACAACAATATGACGCTAGTAGTTTGGCATTTTGATATTATTAGACAATCAGTCGTCCCCAATTTCTAGTAAGCGATTAAACATTATTTAATCAAAGTATCGTTTTGAAAGAGTAATAAATAAAATGCAATCGACTTGTGTTTCAGTAAGTGCATTTATTGAGTGATTAATATTGTGCGAAAACTACTGAGCTGACATAGTATTAAATACGTTTAAATAAGAAATAAGTTTTATAATATTCTTTTAATCTGTCTTCAAAATACACCGAGATTTTTGAAGTGATAACTTCTATTGGCTCGATTTGCTAGAGAGTGAACCTTTGAAAACGAACGTCACGCCTGGGAAAATGTACCACCGTTTTTCGGCTTTTTTCGCCTGTATTCGGAAACTTGCTCCGACAAGATTGGTCCATCCCTAAACAGAAATCACGTGAATAAAGGAGATGGTCGTTCTCCCAGGGTTTTTTTTTCCCTTTTCCGCACCCACCCCCCTGAACCCGAAGCAATACTCACTCACAAAGTCAAAAAGATAGAAGGTGAAGTTTCCCTTCAGGACACAGGTACTTCGGAAACACATTCTTCGTGTTTTCTCCCCTTTATTCTTGTATCATTATTGAATTTCCTACTTTTCAGTTTTGAGGGCACGATATATTAAATAGATGCATTTATGCCAACATCCTTAATTATGTATAAATTTAAGATATTTTGTTTTATATGAGAAATTAATGTTTAAATGTGAAATTAGTATTTCGTTGGTCTTCGTCAAACTTACCAACTTAAGGAACATTATTACCATTTTCAACTTCAAAGCCGCATACATTTTATACTTAACAATGTTATTGATGTGCCCTATCAGTCAGCCTGAAAATCAAACATACGTTTTGGTTTTTTGTTTCCAAAATATGAACAGTTGATGCAAACTGCAAAAGAGACAATCCCTAGGAAATTTAAAATAAATCAGATGATATTTCAATAGAAGAGTATCAAGTTTTAAAGTACATAGCGGGTTATTGCGTTTATAGTATAAAATTCGAATGCTAAGATTACAAATATAGATTTGTTGTTGATAAAAAAATCAATTTCGATTCAGAAAATGTTGAAAGGACAAAATATTTGAAACTTCTGGATAGAGGCAGGCCCTCTTTAATGCTTAGGAACGCTGAAGCATGCCTAGTGGAGCAAAAATTGCATTTTATGAAAAAATTAAAACTATAGAGAACGCATACAACCGCTTAGTGTTTGTCCAAACCAAATTTATTCTTCATTTTTTATATCTAAATTATTAAATTCCTGCTTTTGTTATCGGACAAATGATTATGTAAATCACTTGGCTTTCTTCCCAAATAATATTTGTTTCATGTATTGCTTTATTAAATTGTTCTCAAAACCGAAAATTCCTTGACACTGCAATCGCTTCTAAACTGTGGGTTCGCCTACTAGGGGAGGTGCCCTCATTAGGAGGCGCTACTCATGGAAGTGGAAAAATAAAAAATTTAAAATTGGGATAATATCTCACACTGATATATCAGGGATACTGACTCTCATCATAAACTTTAGAATCAGTACTGCAATAAAGAGTATTTGGATGATTAACCGGTCAATATTCACTAAACACGTTTAGTAATTTCCTACCAGTGACGTTCTTGGCTTTACAAATACAAAAATTATATATTAAACTTAATATGTATCTTGATAATTAGTGCGGTTTATAATTAAAGTCGTATTATATCAATTTTACCATACTGGGTCTTTAATCTTCCAGAAGTGGGCGTTTAAATTGTACAGAATCTTTCATGAGGTGAGTCTGATAACTCAAAACATTATGAATGAATTTCTATGAAACTTTCTGCACCTGATATTTGTCTTATTTTCTAGGAAATGCACTAAAATCATTCTAATTGTGTAAATACTTTTTGTATTATGGACTGTTATTTCAATAACAAATTTGTAAATATGTCACATTTCTTATAATATATATTCGATCAGCTCTAAAATGCTTATTCTTTAAAAAATAATTAAAATTTTAGTACATTTCCTAGGTAAATGCATCGAATTTGTTTTAGTAATACTCTTACTAATAGTAGTTTATTACTTTTTTCTCTAATTGCTTTAAAGTTTTTCAGAAATATTGCTACAATTTCACTTATAACTGTGATTTTTGTAAAATTTAACTGATTTATTTTAAATATTCTAGAGGTAAACTATTGATATTTATCCTAAAAATTATTTATAATGTTTTAGTATGCTATTTAAAAAAGAAAAAAAAAACTGTATGAACGTGTTTGGTTATCTTAACTTAGTTCTCAAATTCTCTCCATCTATTACTGAATAATTGGCCTAAACTTAAAAAAAAAAACTCACCTTTCTGATTAACCATTGACAGAAGCCCCACTTGATACTTATTCATTTTTACTTTTTAGATCTAAAAATTTTCTCTCTCTTAAGTCGGACTCATTTGCTGCAACCAGATTGGTTAAACATCGCCCCGCCCACTTCCATCACAAAGTTTTTTTTTTTCATCTGTTTTTAACTTTAATTTATAATTGCAATTTTATGCTTATTAATATAATTATATTTTATTATTAATATACAACAGTTGTATTTTAAAGATAGATATATATATTTAAGTTTTATACAGCACGATATCAAGAGAGAATTATTATAAGCAACTTAAGAAAATAATAATAATAATAATAAAGCTGTTAATAACAGATTTTTTAACAACAGAAAAACCAACAGATGGCGTTAATAACGAAGGTATTTCTTCGTTTGAATGAGAACCGACTTTGTGCTAGACAAATCTGACACATCTACTGATGATAGCATTTTTGATCCAGTTTGTAATTAATGTGCACGCTTTTTATCACGTAGTAATTAATGAACAGTTGTTAGTAGTTTGATTCGTAATTTCAATTTAAATTGTGATTTATTGTATGTACTTATCGACTAAATTTTCACTATACCCAAACTTGAATTTTTTTTTTCTTTTATTGTAATAAAATCATTTGAATTTGTTTTATATTTATGTAACATGGATTTAGTTATTACTTTTTTGCACGGTTTTATTGGGAAAATATTTAGAGCTTTTCATCTAACACGATTTTTTTTAAATTGTGTATTTATCCCTAAATTTAATACATGTTTCATGCATTTCTTACACAATTTCCTTTTGCACGGTTACCTAAGCAACGTATCTATTGTGTAAAAAAAAAGAGTTGGGTGTGTGAGGAATTATGTCAGAACGTTGACTTAGTTCCTTTTTTTTCTTTAACTTTTAAAAACCCAATTTTTAACTTAGCTGATACACATACTTGACTTTATGAAACAAACTTAAAAGATTTTTAAGGTTCTCAAAGCAATTTTTTAGTTCAAGATATAAAAATATGCATTTTATTTTCCTCTGGTAAGTATTTTATAAACTTTGTTTACTTTTCACTCTAGAATCCTTTTGAATTCCTCGTAGCTCTCACTTCAACAAAATCTCTTCCAAAAATCTCCTGGATGCTGCATTTTTTTTCTTTCCAAAACATTTTGATGTAATCTTTTCTGATTTTTTTTTTTTTGGCTTATCTATAAAAGTCCTTTTTATCGCGTTCGGCATAGTGATATATTTTCTTCTGTACATTCTATGTCTTATAAAAATAAATAATGTTTCAGAATTTTCTTTTTAATATTTGGGTGAAATTTATGAAACAATTTAATTTAAGAAATTTGCAGAATTATTTATTACCGAAAATTCTCTTAAGATAGTGTTTTTGAGAATGTATATACCATATATTCTTTAATAATATGATAAAAAATAATTATTTTTCTGTGAACCAAAGTAAAGGGAAAGGGATAGAGGAAAACGGAGGTATATTATGAAATACGAAACATCAATATTATGCATAAAAGTTTAAACAAGATTTTCTGTTAAAGCTTAGCAGGAGTCAATTCATTGCTTGATTCTTAAAAAGAAAAAAAATAGTTAATTTAATCGTCCCCAGCTTATATATATTTACGAGTTATAATTTTGTATTCTTCCATAAGATAATTTACACGTGTATGGAGAATATTTTAAAGTCAAAATCCCGACTTACACTCCCCCCCGATTTACACAATTCGGGTTACAAATTTTTAAAACCTTTCATTTATTATTATTATTATTTTTTTTCAAATCCAAACAAAAAAGAAAGGGGTTAAGAAGTTATCACCCGCAAAAAGAAAGGGAAATATGCCAAAACCCCGGATGCAACGATGACAATAGGGCTCTAAAATGCGGAGCAAGGGGGGCTGGGGGAAATTTTTTAACCCGGCCCGGGGCCTCATGTGGCCCACTACCCTTTTTAAGTGGTTCGGGTTATAGGAAGTTTCTTTTTGAACGAAAAAAATTTGGGGGAAATTTTTTGTAAAGAAATTTTTGTCAGTGCGCGGGTACGAACATTTCTTTTTCCATTTGGAACATTACGATTGGTAAAGACATCAGTGAAGTAGCGAAAATTTTAGGGGGAACTCTTTTTTAACTATCTTTCATACTTTGAAGCAAAAAATTTTAAAAAAATAAAATAAAAACCGTTTCAAGACGATTGGGATGAAAAAAAAACATAGATCATTGTTTTTGATTTGGCAAAAAGGGCTGTTTTTAAAGAAATCCCAAAAACGGAGTCATTCAATGACATTTTTCCTCAAAATCTCTTTAAAAAAGGAAAATAGATTTTTTTTGAATTACCCATCAGAAACAAAGTGTTTTGTCAGGGTAATAAAAGTGGGTTTAGAACCATAAATTTTTTTATATTATTGCTAATATTATGAAACCATT